CATCTGGTGAGTGCAGGAAGATCCAAGTATGTGCCAGCACAATTGACTCAGGTGATTCAAGGATGGGAAGAGATACAGTGATACACTTAAGGGGTTGATTAAAAACCCATCTGGTTCAGGAGTGTCCTTTACCCATTCTTGTCTATTTGTGAATCCGACAAGATAGGAGGCACCTCAAGATCTGATTCATGGAAATGAGATGTGTTGAGTGGTTTAAGGGTCAGTACAAGAACATTTAGGGGACAGTCATTATTGTATTATAAGTTTAAGCTGACAATGTAAAATGGCAATGAATAATCCAGGGTAAGAGTATTCAAATAGGAAAAAGTCAACTTCAATACAGTAAGAGTGAGTCGGACCTAGATAAATTGTCATTGAATGTTGGCAGGCAAAACAGAAACTGTTGAAAGTTGCCTTTAAAAGAAGAGATTGTTCAGGCACAGCCGAGGTATCTTTCCATAATGGGGAAAGATAATGCAAAAAAATCCAGAACTCCCTGAAATGCAAACATATCAGGACTCAGATGAAGCAAAGTATGCTCGTGACCAATGTTAATTGGGTAATATAACCCAAGACTTGCTGAATATAGAAGCTTGATGGGAATTGGAAAAGCAAATAAGAGAAGCAAGGAGACAGTAAGAAAATAGATCATTGCTAGCAGAGATTAGAGAGAATCCAAAAATCTTCTGTAAGTATGTAAATACGATAAAAGTGGTAAAAGGAAGACTGGGGACAATTAGAGATCAAAAAGGGGATTTGCATACGGAACCATGGGGCATAATTGAGGAATTTAATTGACACTTCGCACCTGCCTTTACCAAAGAAGTACTAACTAAATGGATGACAGTGACAGAAGAAGTAACTTAGACAGTTTACAGGTTTAAAATTGATAAGGAGGAAGTAATGAATAGATTTTTTTGCTTTATTCTTTCACAGATATAGGCATCCGCTGGCAAAGCAAGCACTTGCTGACCATCCCTAATTATCCTTGAACTAAATGGCTTTCTAGAGCCATTTCCGAGGTCAATTAAATGTCAATCACATTGGCTGTGGATGTGGAGGCCTGGTAACCATGGCAGACTTCCTTTCCTAAAAGACGTTAGTAAACCAGATAAACTTTTACAACAATCAACATGGTCACCATTAAAACTAACTTTTAATTCCACATTTTGTTGCATACAACCATCACCATTTGCCATGGTGGAATTCAAACCCATGTCTCCAGAATATTAGCCTGGCCTGTTACCACCTTTTAAAAGGTGAACCATTGAAAGCATAGAGTCATAGAGATGTACAGCACGGAAACAACCCCTTTGGTCCAACTCGTCCTTGCCCACTAGATAGCCTGTAATAATCCAGTCCCATTTGCCAGCATTTGTCCCATATCCCTCTAAACCATTCATATAACCATCCAGATGCCTTTAAAATGTTGTAAGTTTACCAGCCTCCATCACTTCCTCTGGCAGCTCATTCCAAACACACACCACCCTCTGCATGAAAAAGTAGCCCCTTAGGTCTCTTTTAAATCTTTCCCCTCTCACCTTAAACCTATGCCCTCTTGTTTTGGACACCCCTACCCCTGGGAAAAGACCTTGTCTATTCACTCTATCCATGCCCCTCATGATTTTATAAACCTCTATATGGTCACCACTCAGCGTGTGACGCTCCAGAAAAAATAGCCCCAGCCTATTCAGCCTCTCCCTATAGATCAAATCCCCTTCCACCCCAGAACTGCGGATGCTATAAATCAGGAACAAAAACAAAGTTGCTGGAAAAGCTCAAAAGGTCTAGCAGCATCTGTGAAGGAAAAAAACAGTTAATGTCTCGGGACCAGCGAGGAAGGGTCACCGGACCCGAAACGTAGACTCTGTTTCTTTCCTTCACAGATGTTGCCAGACCTGCTGAGCTTTTCCAGCAATTTTGTTTTTGTTCCACCTGCCACTCCTTGGCCCATCTGATCAAGATCCCATCGTATCTGAGGTAATCTCCACGACATCTCCATGAACAATAGAACAGTCAAAGTGATTGGTCAAATGGACTCAAAAACAGAAACTGCTGGAGAAACTTAACAGGTCGCATGGCATCTGTGGAGAGGAAGCAGAGCTAAGCAGAGCCAGTGACCCTGCTTCAGGAGGGTTTTTGTTTCTGATTTCCAGTATCCGCAGTTCTTTGCTATTTGATCAAATTGATTATTTGATTGCTCTCTTGAAGAGTGACTGGAAGACTGCTGGAGATGGTGCTTTCTCAGCAAATTACATCTTCTGAGATCCAAAAATCAACTGCCCATATTTGATATTACCCATTTACATATGTCAGAATTTCAAACCAATAGCCCACTGCACATCTTAACCGTTAAGTATTAGTTCTTCAGCAAAAAAGTTATTAGCCAAAAGTGTTTTCTCCACCAAAGTGAATCTCTGCAAAGAGAAATCAGTTGCTTGTCCTTTACCCTATACAGGTGTGCATGTGTTTGTGTGACAGGTTGATATTTACAGGTGTAAATACTTACATTTTTACATCTCAAACTAAAACTGCGTTAACCAGTTTTGTATTTTCATTGAATGGGTTTTGTTATTTATAGTGAATTAATAATTTAATGTCTTTTTTTATTTGTTTGTGGAATGTGGACATCTCTCTCTAGTTCAGTAGTTACTGCTTAATTGCCTCGAGGCCATTAACAGTTGCTGCAAGTCTTGAGTCAATGAAGACCAAACTAAGTAAAGGTGCAGACCTCCTCCCCTGTAGGAGATTACTAAACCAAATGGATTTTGACAACAAAAATATTTTCACAGTTGCCATTAGACTAGGCTTTAAGGCCAGATTTTATTGTACTCAAATTTCCCCATCCCATCAGTGGGATTCAAACTGACAACCCCAGAGCCTGAAATGCTGAATTGACACTATGTCACCATTTCCCCATTCACAAAACTTGGTTTTTCTATTTGACAATATTGGGAATCAGGTAAAACAATTAAAATTATGTTGTAACCTACGGAGTAGTGAACTACTGCAAACTGCAGTGAGAGTGAACACAATTTTCCAATCTTCCTTAGAGTAAGGGATAGTGCCAAATGACCAGAGAACGGAAAATGTTTCAATCTTGCTTAAAAAAACCCAGCAAGTACAAACCAATCAGGCAGTTTAACATCAGAGGTGGGGTGGTCTTTAGAAACAATAATTTAGATCAACTTTAGTCGTCACTTGACCAAATGTGGACTAATTAAGGAAAGCCAGATGCATTTAAAGAAATAGTAGGAACCGCCGATGCTGGAGAATCTGAGATAACACAGTGTAGCTCTACACCGTGTTATCTTGTATTTAAAGAAAATCTTGTTCAACTAGCTTTCTGGAGTTTTGTGATGAATTAACAGGAAGGCCCATAATGGTATTGCATTAACGCATGGAATACACCCTCTAAAAGTTCTGGCGGTGGCATAGTGTTGAATAAAAAGTGTTAATTCAGAATGTCAGGCTCTGGGAACCTCGGTTCAAATTCCACCATGGCTGATGGAACGTTTATAGCTGAGTTCTCCAGAAGTCGGTGTTAGGATCAGCATTTGTCTAATATTTCCCAATGTTGCACGGGCTTCAAAGTCCATGTGCAGCAGTCACTTCTTATACATTCACTGCTGATCAGCTTGTGTGGAGCTCCCTACGGGATGTGCAGCTCAGAAGGAACATTAATCAGGCACCCTACCTTTCCTGACATATATTAATCAGCTAGGCTTTGGTGCACAGCGCACAATTTCAAAATCTGCTTATGATTCAAAGCTTGGAAGAACTGGGTATGAGGAGAATAGCATGGAATTTCAAATTTCTGTCAGGAGTGAATAAAGGCAACAATCAGATCAGCCATAATCTTACTGAATGGTGGAGCAGGCTCAATAGACCAAAATGTCTATCCAGCTATTATTTCTTATGATTTTATAATGGGTACGTAAGGTTGATAGAATAGGTAGACAACTGTAAATTAAATTTAACTCAGAGAAGTATTAAGTGACAGGTTTTGGTAGAAAGAATGATAAAAGGCATTATAAAATAAAGGGTATAAAATGTAAAAGGGTTGCAGCAGCAGAGGAAGTTGTATGCATATATTGTAAAGGTGGCAGTAAAAGGTTGGAAGAAGTTAATAAAGCATATATGTGCAAACAACAAAAAAAAACACAGCAATAAGCTTTAATGCAAGTATGTGGTGCAAAAACAAAGAGTACCACACTTTAGCAAAGATATAAAGGCATTGGAGAGAGTGCAAAAAAGAATTCAAATGAATTGTTCCAGGGAAAGAGAATTTCAGTTATTTGGATAGTTTGGAGAAGTTAGGACTGTTTTCCTTGGAGAAGGTTCAGAGGAGATTTGATAGAGGTATTCAAAATCATGATGGGTCTAGATAGAGTAGTTAGGGAAAAACAGTTCCCATTGGTGGACAGTTTCAAGCTCAACAGGAGATTTAAGAAATTTGGCAAAAGAAGCAATGCAATAGGGGGGAATGTATATTTCACAAAGTGAGGATGTGGAATGCCCTGTCTCAGAATTAGGTGAAAGGAGTTCAAACTAAGTCTTTTCTGAGGGAAATGGATCATAATCTGAAAAGCAAGAATTTGAAGAGTGATAGAGAAAAAGTGAGGTAGTGTCACTAGATGAACTTCCCTTTCAAAGAGCCAGCAAAAACAGAAGGGGCCAAATGGTCTCTTTCTATCCAGTAACCATTCTGTGCTGTATGAGTGTCTCCAGATAAAGTCTTGCCATAAAAGGGAAAAAAAAATCCCTCAGTGCTTTTCTGGTTTCTCGTCAAACAATTAAAAAGTAAAACCTTTAGTAGTATTATATTTACTTTCAGTCTTTCATGGAATCAGTACAGGCAGACATTTAAATGACTGAAAACAAGACATAAATTCTATACTGGAATTTAAAAACATTTTAAATTCTATCAGATTTGGGATTTCATTTGAAGTATTCTTTTTTTTGATATGTTTCATGAATACTGGTCATTTTACCTGACTTTACAGCACTTTTTGCACTTGTGACTCCACTTCTGATAGGGATGGCACAGCTTTTTGAAAGCTTGTTGGCAGACACACTGTACAGCACTCCCCCGATGCAGCGCATGCCTTTCATTTTCCATCTCTGCTGAAGGAGCCTATAATTGCTGTTCAGTCGCGTTCGGTTCAGGAGCAGTGACCTGCAAGGAAAGAAAGGAGAAAGGCTCAGTAAAACAAGAATGGGATGGGATACTGGCAACAAACCTGTTCCAGTTGAAATTACCTCTATCAGTCTCAAATTTGTGTTCCATTGATCTGTGCTTCTAGCACAGTTTCCTTTTATCTCTTTAATCCAAAACCTCAAACTTCTGCTGCTATTGCCTCACATGGAAAAGAAAATGACAGTGTATAGTAAGAAGAAAATTATCATCTGCGTTTATCCAACTACAATGTATCTTTCAAAAAAATGCACTGTCAAGTTTGGGATAAAACACTTGATTCACACTGCAGCATCATACTAGTACAAACACTACAACCATATGTCAATACCATTTATATAAAACAGAAGAAATAGGAGCAGGTGTGGGTCATCTGATTGCTCAAGCCTGCATCTCCATTTAACAAAATCATGGCTGATTTTCAATCTTAACACCACCTTTTGATACTCTCCCCCATCTATTAAGTCTCTTCACACTTTTGACCAAAAAAAAATCAATCTCTCAATTGTTCTCAACAATTGAACATCCACAGATATTTAGGATAGAAGATTCCCTAAGATTGAGTGAAGAAATGTCTCCTCATCGCAGTCCTAAATGGTAATCCTATGACTATGTCTCTGCTTTCCAGATTCCTAAACTGGGGAAACAATTTTTCTCAGCATTTACTCTGAGGCCCTTAAAGAAATTTACATTTTCAATTAGACTAATTCCAATTATTCTGAACTTCAGGGAATATAGGCCTACTCTGCTAAATCTCTGCTCAAAGGACAATTTCTTTACCTTATCACAACTCTTGGGGGTGATACACTGGAAACCAAGCCCCACTCTTCCCAGAGTCATCACAAATTTGATGAAACCACTGAAGCAGGCCAAAAGAATATGCACACAGAAAAGAATATGCAAGTTTTCCATTAACAAGCCAACAACAATGGCTGTAGACCAATTGTTTTTTAACCAATGTCAAGAAACAGACAAACTGAATTGCTAATTTATAAGTGTGACTCCCTAAAACCTAAAATCTCCATATTGTTTAAAACTGACATGACACTGCACTGGATGAGGTGTAAATGAAATTCACTAGGATTTTTGCTGGGGTTGGAGCAGTTTAGCTCTGAAGAGAAACTGGATAAGCTCAGATTGTTTTCTTTAAAGCAGGGAAGGCTGAGGGAGGACCCAAGTGAGGTATAGAAGATTATATGGGGCAGGGTTAATAGGAAGCAGCTGGACCCCTCAGTTGAAGGGTCAATAATGAAGGGGCATAATTTTAAGGTGAAGGGCAGAAAGTAAAGGGGGAATTTGAGGAAGTATGTTTTCACCAACAAGGTGGTGGGAATCTGGAATGCATTGCCTGTGAAGGCAGTAGAGGAAGGAAACCTCACAACTTTTTAAAAAGTACATGGATGAGCGCTTAAAATGGCATTAAAAAAATGAAAGAAGTGCGGATACTGTAAATCAGGAACAAAAACAGAAGTTGCTGGAAGCTCAGCAGGTCTGGCAACATCTGTAAAGAAAAAAATCAGAGTTAATGTTTCGGGTCTGGTGACCCTTCCTCAGAACTGAAGAAGGGGCACCGGACCTGAAACATTAACTTGAAATGTCATGCTATTCAAGGCTATTGGCCAGGTGCTGGAAAGTGGGATTAGTATAAATAGGTACAGTCTTATGGGATGAAGGGCATCTTCTGTACTGTATGATCTATGATTATGATTGTGAGTTGGGTAAGAGAAAAATATGTCTGAGAAACACAGTCTGACACCAGTCCAGATAACAGGGACCAATGAGATGTTTTCTGTTGGTTTTCTTTTGACTCCTTCCGATTCTTGTTCGTGACAGGAGGTTGTTGAATTAGATTTGCTGATTCTCAATTTTCTGTGCACTGGTTGAGGATTCACCCATTCAATGTCACTGAAAGTGGTTTTTCCCTTTTTCCTTTCAACAAGGGAATTTGCAGAAAGAACAGATAGAACATAGAACATAGAACAATACTGCACAGTACAGGCCCTTCAGCCCACGATGTTGTGCCGAACTTTTACCCTAATCCTAAGATCTATCTAACCTCCACCCCTACCTTATACTATCATCCAAATGCCTATCTAATAGCCGCTTAAATGCCTCTAATGAGACCGACTCCACTACCCTCTCCGGCAATGCATTCCACGTCCCGACCACTCTCTGAGGAAAGAACGTACCTCTGACGTCTCCCCTATATCTACCTCCACTCACTTTAAAACTATGCCCCCTCGTAATAGCTACCTCCATCCTAGGAAAAAGTCTCTGGCTGTCTACTCTATCTATACCTCTGATCATGTTGTACACCTCTATCAAGTCACCTCTCATCCTTCGTCGTTCTAAAGAGAAAAGCCCTAGCTCTCTCAACCTTTCCTCGTTAAGAACTTCCCTCCATTCCAGGCAACATCCTGGTAAATCTGCTCTGCACCTTTTCCAACGCCTCCACATCTTTCCTGTAATGAGGTGACCAGAACTGGACACAATACTCCAGATGTGGCCAAACCACATATAAGAATTTGTTATAAGATTATAAGAAAATGGTGACTGAGAATAGCTACACAAGACTTTGTTACTTCTCCATGCAGAACAGATAGCTGGATTTAGGTGCTTTCTCTCTGTAGCCTATTTTTTTTTCAGTACTGTCTACATACAATAGATAAAGTCTAAAGGCTCAACTGAGAGAACTTATTGAATGTAGTGGCTTTGTCACCCAAAATGTGTGCATCTAGAAGGATCCGAGGCTGCTTTCTGAAAGCTTGAATCAGCTGGTAAAATGTTTAAGTAGTAGCAGTAATCCAGGTTTGATGTACATCTATGCTCGGCTGAGCTTGGTTGTAATGGCAATAAGGGCTCTACTATTAGTCTTTAAAATGCCAGCCTTGGCTCACGCATAGCACTCATGTCAAAAGGTCATAGGTTTATAAATCTTATTCCAGTAACGGAGCACATAATCTAGGTTAATAGTTCAGTGGAAAACCAAGGGAATGGCACGCCGTTAGAACAGTATTCTTTCTAATGAAACATAAACTGAGGCAGCCATCTTCCGGTTTTTCTCAGCAACTTTCAAAGACGAACAATAAAGCTCTCCTGATGTCTAGGCCAAGATTTATACCTCCAAGATCATTAAAGAACAGGTCTTCTGTATATTATTTCCTATCATTTTCAAAGTAATGTTGTCCAATTTGGTTGGGTTGAAAAGGGTGCGTAATCCAAGTATGTACGAGTGAACAGCCAGTAAATTGAATTCTACGCCATCACTAACAACCCAAGTTCATCTGAAAATTTGTATTTTAGTAAAACATGGAAGCACTGCCAGTATCCACTGGGGCCCAATATGAATCAGTCACTCCATGAGCAGACAGGAAATAAAACTAGCAAAGAATATTAAAGGTGACTCTTTGGTCCAAGTGAAATGTCTCCACATTTGCAAATAATGTGAACTATTTAGCTGAGACATTAAACTAACTGAAAGGGCCACTCAACTCTCCTTAACTCATTACAGCTTCGGTCCAAACATGGATTAAAGAGCTGAACTCCAGAATTAAGGTGGGAAATACTGCCCTTGAAATCAAGGAATCATTTGAATAAGTATGATATAAAAGGAATTCTGGCAAAATTGGAGTCAATGAGAATTGAGGGAAAACTTTCTGCTCTTGGGAGCTATACCTGGTATAAGGGAACATGGTTGAGGTTGTTGTAGCCAGGACATCAAGTTTCTCAAAGTAGGGCCTGAGACCCAATAATCTCGCAACTACTCCACCAATGACCTTCCTTCTGCCATAAAGTCATACATTGGGATGTTTGGTGATGATTGAACAATGTATAGTACCTTTTATAACTCCTCAGATGCTGAAGCAGCCTGTATCCATATGAAGCAAGACCTCTGCATCATTCAGGATTGGACTGCTTAGTGGCAAGTAACAACGATGCTACCCAAGTGCCAGGCAATGGCTATCTCCAACAAGACAGAATCTAACCAAAATCTATTGACACTCAATGGTATTACCATTGCTGAATCCCCTAATATCAACCAACATCCCCTCCCAAGCTTCATGGCCACACAGCCACGCCAGGATTCCACATCCATACCAACGCATTGACGCCTAACTCTGGAAGTTGAAGCTATGCATGGACCTCAGATACCGGAAGAGCAGGTCAGAAGACCAGAAGACTGCAAGGCGTCGGATTAGAAGGAAGCCATTTGAAGAGATAATAACTGATCTGAAAATCCTCAGCTCCACTTTCTTATCTTAACCCTAGAACCATTGATTCCCTTAATGATTAAACATGTGTCTGTCTCAGCCTTAAATATACTTGTCAGAGGGTTGTTAGCTCAGCTGGCTTGACTACTAGGTTGCGTTGTTTAGGGATGCCAACAACATGTGTTCATTTATTGCACCAGCTGAGGTTACAAGAAAAGCACTCTTTTTTTTTTTAAGAGATAGTAGGAACTCCCCATTGGATTGTAGGAACTCTTTTTTTAAACCTTTCCTCTCACCTGAGGTGTGATGATGCTCAGGTTAAACCACGACCAATCGCCTTTCTCTAATGAGAATACAGGCCTATGGTCCAGTAGGACTATGGCGACTTTACCTGGCCTGTGTACTTAACAACTTAATCTCTACTGCCCTCTGTGGTAAACAACTACTGGTCAATAACTACATTCAGGAAAAATAAAGAATCTTCCTCATCTCTGTCCTAAATGGGCATATTGACATATTTGTGAACGGGAAATTGTGTTTCACTAATTTTTTGCAGTTCTTCAGAGCAGTACTACGCAATGTAGATAAAAAGAAACCAGTGAATGTACTGTATCCACACTTCCAGAAGGCATTTGACTTGAAGCCACATCAAAGGTTACTATACAAAGTAAGTACTCATGGTAAAGGGGCAACATAGTAGCATGGATAGAGGATTGGTTAGTTAATAGGAAATAGAGGGTGGCATGTGGTACAGTGGTAGTTTCGCTATCC